TGATAAAACACACTCAGAATTTGTACATCCCAAAACATATTCACTTTTAGCGATACTCGCTACAGCAAAAGAGTAGTGGTTGCTTCTCACGGACAGACAGACAGACAGACTCACGACCAACGACACGACAGGTCCACAGGAGAGCTCGGTCCACTGTTCCGGAGAGCTTCGCTTCGCTCAGCAATTATTTCAGATGTATGATTTGGGTTAAAGGGTCTGGAAACCGACATCTGTTACGTGATGTAAAATCTCTCCACAACAAAACATTTCTATGTGTCGATTATTTTGATGATGATCAATTTCTCAATAGAGATAACAATGTCATGAAACCAGATGCAATTCCCCAAATTTTTGATTGTGTTCCTTTACCTGATGAGGAAGTTATTACAGCATTTCAATTTCCAGAAGTAATTTGGGAAGGTAAGTTTGCCTGAACCTGTAAGTTTATTATTATTTTCAATATCTATTAATTCCATGTGAAATTTTCTTTAATAATAATATTTTTAGAAGCAGGGGCTGAAGAAAACGAAGGTTACACATTAGACAAATTTCAGAAGCAATTTGAAGATCACATGGATTCGCTGCAACGGAGAAATTGTAATGAGTGCAAGGAAAGATTCATGGTTTCTGGAAAATCCAAGTCAAAGTGTATTCATGGAAGACAGAACTGCCTTTATTACACCAATGAAAACAATATGGACCCTGGCCCTGTTCCACCTGAATTAGCAGACTTAACATATATAGAAGAACAACTTATAGCTCAAGTTCATCCATTGGTAACGGTCTTCAAATTAAAAGGACATCAGTTAGGTTACAGAGGAAACATCATAAATTTTCCCCAAAATATAAGCAATTTTGTTAAACAATTACCTCATAGAATTGAAGATTTACCATCAACCATTACAGTTAGAACAAAAAGTGATTTAAAGCCAGTAGATTTTAATGTGAGAGCAGAAAAAATTAGATCTGCTCTACTATGGTTGAAAAGAAATAATGTGTTTTACTCTGACATTGATATATCCGAGGAGAATTTACAAGGCTTGCCTGAGAATGGAAATGTGTATGATAAAATACAAACCATTCAAATAAATGAAGAGGAAAGTGATAAAGAACCAACTGAGACTGAATTTGATAAAAATGGTGGTGATCATTCTTCATGTGAAGATTCTGATGACACAGATCACACTGATGATGAAAATGATAGCAACTTTAAAGTTATTGAATCCACTATACCAACGATAGGGATGCCCTCCGAACATGCACAGAAAGAAGCTGTTTTAGATTGGCCTATCATTGAACAACAAGCAATCAATGAGTTTTCTTCAGGGGGGTATATTGCTAAGGCTTTTCCCTGTCTCTTTCCTTATGGCAAGGCAGATTTGAGGATGCCCAGGGAACATAAAATAACTCCCTTAAATTATTTCAAACATTTACTTCGATACCATGATCAAAGATTTGCTAAACATCCGCGCTTCAGATATTTTGCCTTAAACTCTTATATGCGTTGGAGTGCTCTCAAAGATGGAAATGTATTTGTTGACAGAAATTCAGAATTTAAGGAGATGACTATTGCTCAATTAAAGGAAGAGATCAAGAAAAACCCAAGTATTATTAACAAAATTATGTTTCAATCTTCTAATATTCGTGGAACAAAATCATTCTGGTACGCAAGAGGCAAAGAATTAATAGCTATGGTTGAGCAACTAAGTTTACCAACACTATTTTTCACACTCAGTGCAGCAGATTTTCATTGGCCAGATTTGTATAAGCTACTTGCACCTAATGAAGAGGTTGAAACAATTTCTGTACATCGAAGAAGGAAATTGATAGAAGAAAATCCTATGATAGTCAACTCTTTCTTCTATGAAAGATCAAAATCTTTCATTGAAATGGTAAATAGTTTAGTCTTAATTGTAACAGTGCTATATATATTTTAAACTACTGATACTGATATGACACATAATTTGCAATACAGGTTCTCAAACCAAAGTTTAAAATTAAGGACTACTGGTTTCGAATTGAATACCAGCATAGGTAAAGTATTTATTCTTAAACAACATTGTATTTAGACAAGCTTTCTGCTTTTGACATAAGCTTAATATGTATTCTGTTCCTTCAAAAAGGGGAAGTCCACACGTTCATGGCCTCTTATACATAGATGGTGCTCCAGATGTGACAAAAATTAACACGGCTACTGAAGAGGAAAAGAAAGAGATTGCCGCATACTTCCATGAACTTATCAGCACGTTCCATCCCAATACCAACGAACCACCAGCTCCTATTCATCCTTGTCGAAGGGGACGCCCTGTTTGTCCGACAAGTTATTTGTCCGACAGCCGCATTTAAGCAAATAAATTAAATAAATAAAGTATTGCAATAACAGGGAAAGGGCTCGTTTCACTTGTCCGACAGCTGGAGTTGCGTTTCAAACTTGAAA